AAATACTTTCAATATTGTATCCTGTATGAATTACCTATTTTCTAAAGAGCATACACGTGCTGATACTTTCTCAGCATGGTCCTTCTTTCTCTTTCCCTTTCTAATTAAAAAATAAAATGCCCAAACAAAAAGTAACTTAAAAATACGTGCCCTCTTCCCCACCTGCCAAAGCTTCCCAGAGATCCTTCACTAAGACAGAATATACACTTTTGGGTTTTACAGAAATGAAGTGTGGCATTCTTGAGAGAGAAGAGACAGTGTGATAAAAACGTTCATGTTGGGCAATAATTGGCCTAAAATAAAGGTTAATCAAGAATCTCAAATGTTACATAGCACTGTTTGATATAATGCTCATCCCAGTCCATACTGGTTTTCTGGAAGGAGTGGTATTTTGAAATTAAAACTCTATAATTAATCTTGAAACAACATGCAAAATAGATTGAAATGAGACAAGAGAATGGATATGGGGGTACAGATTTTAAATCTGAAGTCATCAGATATGTGGAGATAAATATGAGAACAAAGCTTGGATGAAAGATGAACTATTATCTACACAAAGATTAGAGGATATGCCATGGAGAAGGTAGACAAGTGGGAAAGAATCAAAGGCCTCTCAGCCTCAGGGTTTACCCAGTGAGCAAATCCAAAAAGAGCCACAGAACAAGAGAGAACAATTTAAAAATGAAGATGCTATAAAGCACAGGAAGCTCAGCTCAGCAGTCTGTGACAACCTAGATGGGTGAGATGTGGGGGCTGGGCTGGGAGGTGATACAGGTATACGTATAGCTGATTCACTTCATTGTACAGAGAAAACTAACACAACATTGTGAAGCAATTATATTCCAAAAAAATACTACTAATAAAATAAAATATGTGAGGAAAATAAAATAAAATAAAAAATGAAGAGAGCCATGCAAAGTGGTTTCCAAAATGATGGAATAGTAATAACAAAATTAAATAAGAGCACTGCAGGGAAAACTGAGCAATGAACATTATATTTTTCTGTAAGATATTTAGGACAGTAGTAAAATCTTAACCTTAACCAGTGACCTAAACCAGAACTGAAGTTGGTTGAAGGAGATGGCTAGGATGACAGTGGTTCAAAGAGTCTGACTATGGAAAAAGGTAAGATAACTCACTTACATCGTACCTCCTTCCAGAATATAATATGGTATGGTTAGTAAAATATAAAGTTAGACCAAGGGAAGGAGGAAAAGCAAATATCCCAGCCACATGAACTAAAAAAATTGCTATGGTTAAGTATTAAATTCACTCTGAGCTTACTGGTAATCAGGGCAAAAAAGTAAACAGTGCGTATCACATTTTCACAGAAGTACAACGATCTCTCAAGAGAAATTTTTTCTGGAAACCAAAAAAAAAAAAGAAATTTCTCATTTGAGCCTAAAATTCAAAGGGCAATGTCCTTGTAAGGTTTTACAAAAAATGAAGCAATTTTTTAAAATGAGAAATTATAGAGTATTTAACAAATGACAAATATTGTCCCAATAAGCCTTTTACAAAATGTTAACTCATTTAATTTTCACGTGGCTATTTCTTTTAATAATCCTCTATAGAACCTGGCAGAAACCTGAGTGCTGGCATTCCAGGTGGCTTGATGATTCAGGGATGACCTATGCTTTGGAAGCTGAGCATAAGAAAGGATAACAGGATCAGCTGGAACCTTACCTCCCAGAATAAAAGAAATGTTTACCACATAAAGTCAAAATGGATGAAGTCAACGGAAGAAAGCTACACTTAAAAACAAGATAATTCAGGAAATAAACCTTTAACCAGATTAAAAATTTTTTTCACAATCTTGAGGCCAGTGCTCTTAATTTTATAATGTAATTGGAGATAGCTGGGGTTCACTCCTGAAATCCTTGATTGAAAGCTCTCAGGTTTATCATATACCTAGATTGCTCCTAAACCCATCTAGCTATTGCTCCAAACTTTGGTGGCAAAAACAGACTCCTTTGAACTAAGGTAAACAAGGTTTTGCTATTGGCCATTCAAACTCCCAGGGCATCTGAGCAAATATTCCTTTTTTAAAAAAATTTTTTTAAAGTTTATTTTATATATTTAATATAATTATATTTAATACTTTTATTAATTTTAATATACTGCGGGTTTTTTGGTTTTTGTAAACATCTTTATTGGAGTATAATTGCTTTACAATGGTGTTAGTTTCTGCTTTATAACAAAGTGAATACATATATCCCCATATCTCCTCCCTCTTGCGTCTCCCTCCCACCCCTCTAGGTGGTCACAGAGCACCGAGCTGATCTCCCTGTGCTATGCAGCTGCTTCCCACTAGCTAGCTATTTTACATTTGGTAGTGTATATATGTCCATGCTACTCTCTCACTTTGTCCCAGCTTACCCTTCTCCCTCCCAGTGTCCTCAGGTCCATTCTCTACGTCTGCATCTTTATTCCTGTCCTGGCCCTAGATTCTTCAGAACCTTTTTTTTTTAGATTCAATATATATGTGTTAGCTTACGGTATTTGTTTTTCTCTTTCTGACTTACTTCACTCTGCATGACAGACTCTAGGTCCATCCACCTCACTACAAATAACTCAATTTCGTTTCTTTTTATGGCTGAGTAATATTCCATTCTATATATGTGCCACATCTTCTTTATCCATTCATCTGTCGATGGACACTTAGGTTGCTTCCATGTCCTGGCTATTGTAAATAGAGCTGCAATGAACATTGTGATACATGACTCTTTCTGAATTATAGTTTTCTCAGGGTATATGACCAGTAGTGGGACTGAGCAAATATTCTTGAAGGATTCCCTCACTAAACAGGTTTTATTGGGGGGGCTGGGAGGGACAGGATGGGACATTTTTTATGTAGAGTTGTCAATAAGTATTAGACAAAATAGTGTTTCAAAGTTATTGCTAAGAAATGATTTCTTATTTTGATGGAAATGGAGCTAGAAGCTTCTGGGAAACATGTAAATCACAAAAGCTGCTCAATTTTCTATCTGACAGAAGGGGAAAAAAGAGGGATACAAGAGCCACTGAAGAGACAGAATGCAAGGCATCTTTTCAATAGAAAGCTGTTCCCATCATATAACCTTTAAGGACAACTTCTAAATGCTAGTAACCTCATTTTTCAATTCTGGGCACCTGTACTTAAACTTGTTACATGCCTGGTAATTCAGATGATGTTAAGTAAGGTAAGTGAGTACCTAATGAAATTAAGCATACACATTCGAAGAACCTAGGGGCAAGACGGGAATAAAGACACAGACCTACTAGAGAATAGACTTGAGGATATGGGGAGGGGGAAGGGTAAACTGTGACAAAGTGAGAGAGTGGCATGGACATATATACACTACCAAACGTAAAATAGATAGCTAGTGGGAAGCAGCCGCATAGCACAGGGAGATCAGCTTAGCACACAGGGAGATCAGATCGGTGCTTTGTGACCACCTAGAGGGGTGGGATAGGGAGGGTGGGAGGCGCACGAGGGAAGAGATATGGGAACATATGTATATGTATAACTGATTCACTTTGTTATAAAGCAGAAACTAACACACCATTGTAAAGCAATTATACTCCAATAAAGATGTTAAAAAAAAAGCATACACATTCTAGTCTCTCAAGAACATTAAAGAGGTAGAAATTTGACAAAAATCTAGCTTTTTAGAATGTGAACACATTTGAGTCATCCAACTGAAGATGTTAAATGACCTGCCACAGTCATAGGCTACTTTGTGGCATAAAACCATTATCACAGGATATCACGAATTTTGCTCATCACCAAGTGATTTTTTTTTTAAAGTAACATTTTTCAGTCTGGGAAAACAACTTTAGCTTGGAACGTTTTAGGAAGGTGCCAATTTCAATTACAGGAAACATTAAGGCAGGTCTGAGACTGAAAGTATAAGAATCACACTTTCAGTTTGACTTATGATACTATGGGGCTGGAAAAAGCAATGTAAGTAGAAGGGAAGCAAAACAGGTCACATAACGTCAGTGCAAAGTCAGAAAAATAGCAGGATATAAAGAAAGCAGGCAGGTAAATTTTTACCTACAGTGAGAAAAAGTTTGCGTCCATTTATATTAACTCAAGACAAAATATCCAGGAAATTGCCTCTCATACTGCGTAGGAAAAACCAATTTTGTTTTAAAACTCAGCTGCTGTGCGGAATAGATGAGTTAACACCCTATCACAATTTATTTAATCCACAAACGCTACTTAACTCGGGTTTTTTCTGAGTTAGTGTTTTACCCGTCACATTTCATCTTGGCTATTTTGAGTTGTATTTTCAAAAATTCGCCCATCTTGTGGAAGATGTCAGACAGGCCAAAGCTGGTCCTCAGTGCCAACAGGTGGTCTGTACTGCGTGCCCTGTCTTCTCAGCCACATGACCCTTTTCCTCCTAATCTCCTTTCGGAAACGTTATTTCCGGTGCCCCAGATAGCTCTACACACGCCTGAAGAAGCCACTCCAGAAATATTCAGAATACTCTGCTACGTTAGGCTTCCAAAGAGACGGTGGCAGAGATCGAAGGAGGGCAGGCCGAGAGGAAACTCGAGCCTAGAAAAGCAGCTTGTCAGGAAGGCACACGCTTTGCCCATCGCCCGACTCCTAAATGTCACTCGGTGATGTTCGTGGGGCACCACCCACCAAGAGCTGGGCGGGCGGCCAAGCACTGCAGCCCGGAGCCGGGGCGCTGAGCACGCGGCATGGGCCGGGCTGCCACAGCTCCAGCGCGGTGGGGGGTAGGGGGGTGGCAGGCTGGCCCCTCCGGCCCCTTGGCTGCTCCACCCGGCGGCGGGGAAGGGAAGTGAGGGCCGAGCGAGGGGCTCAGGCGGGGAAGGCGCGGGCGGGGCCGGGCCTAATCACATGGCGCAGACTGCGCAGGCCGCCCGGCATCTCTTTCTTTCTCCTTCTCGAACCTCCGCTCCCATCCCTCCCCACCGCAGGCCCCTCCCGGGCCCGGGCCCCACGCGGGACAAGGCCTCCTGCGCCTTGCGGAGACACTCACTTTTCGCCTGAAGCCACCAGCTCCTTGCCCTCGCTGTTGCCGAACCCGTCTGTCTCCCCCGAGCTGTCCTTGGGGCCGGACGCCGGCGGGGCCGCGGGCGGCGACGCCCCGGGCTGCGGCTGCTGCGGAGGCGGCGGCGGCTGCTGCTGCGGCTGCTGCTGCTGCTGCTTCGGCTGCTGCGTGCCCCCCTTGCCCAGCTCCTGCAGGATCTCCGAGGGGGAGCTGGACAGGCCCCTCACGAGGGGTCCCGCCGGCCGGGCGCCCCCGCCCCACCACGGGTAGAGCCGCGCGGCGGCCGCCTGGCCAGCTCGTCCCCCGCCCCGGGGGCGCCGGCACAGGGTGGCGAGGGGCTGCGCCCGCCTCAGAACCGCGCAGGCGTCGGCGGGCGGGCGAAGGAGCAGGTCCCGCAGCATCGCCGAGCCTCGCAGCCGCATCATGCCGCCGGGTCCGTCAGTGCCCGCTCAACAGGGGAGGATGCTCCGGACGTGGGCGGCCGCTCTCCTCCGGGAACTTGGTCTCCGGCGGGACGGCCAGAGGGCAAAAGAGGGCAGGGACAGTGAGGTGGGTGTGGTCCCGGCTGCGGCTCTCACAGGCGCCGCCGCTACTGCCGCTGCTGCTGCTTCTGAGGCTGCCCGCGGCTACTTCTCACACCGCGGAGGACTCCGCACTGAGGCTGAGGCGCAGGGGCGGGCCCGAGACATTCGGCGCTCACCCTCCTGGGGGCGGGAGGACGCCGGCGGCCTGCCCCCTTCGCCTGCTCCGATTAGCTCAGATCACCGACCTCGCTTCTGATTGGTGACTGGAGCAGTCAAATTTCTCTCGGCGCCCGGTGCGCGGAGAGTGGTGCGGAAAACTGGCGGGGGACTGGGGGGAGGAGTCAAACTGACGTGTGAGGCAGGGGAGCCAGGCAGGGCTCCGGAGTAGCCCCTTTTCTCTCGCTTCGTCAGCACCGAGAGTGCCCTCGTTGAGAACTGGGGCCTTAGTGGTCTCGTCATTTACGAAGCGGATGGGCTCCTGGACTCTGGGGCCTCGAACTGTTTCGGAGACTGATTGGCAAGAGCCCCTGCCGCCCAGGGGCCGACGGTCAGGGGGCTTGGCCGGGGCTGGAGTTTGGGCGTCGGAGCTCGGCTGGTCAAAGCTTGCCGCTGGTCCCCGGCTATCCGGTAAGGGCGTGTGGCGACGCCTCTGAGGGCCGCGGACCCGCGGCGGCAGCCCCAGACGAGCTTGTCCCTCTCCCAAATGTTACGTTTACTTGAAACTTTCCATGGTTGGCGACTGCCCAGATGGGAAGTGTTTTGGAAAAAATGAGCAAAATCCTTTCAGCTATGCGACTTAGCCATTTGGAGGATTGGAGTTCGGGGGACCGCAAAGAGAGAGGGGGAAATTCCAGAACACGACAGCTTTCCTTTTTAAAAATTGCTTTTTAAAATGCAAAATTGTAGACACTCTCCTACTTTAAAGCTGCTTCATTGTTGTAAAATAGAAGCATACGGATACTGGTTCTCTAAATCGTTTTCAGCCTAGTATCACTTTATCCATTTATCCTTTTGGACCTGTAGGAAAAGAGTTCCAAGGAGGTGATAAACTCTGAATTTTTCTTTGAGCCTACATGTACAGTCCACTCCACGCCAAAAAAACAAAAAAACGAAAACCACAGACTTTAGATGATATCCTGAAGCAATTAGGTTTTAATGCATGGATTCACAAAGGTTACTGGGATAATTTTTATGAAACGGGAAGGGTGTGTGTCAGGTGCATCGTTAACTGATCATCGGATTTAGTAATCATCATCTTAAAATATTGCACTAGATTAGTAATTAGGAAATCTGGTTGTACCTACAGGTTATGTGACCTTTGGCATGTCACAGGCTTGCCATGTTTAAGTTTTTTCTATCTACTCTTTAACCAGAAGAACATGGAAAAAGCTGTATGTGTAGAGCACTTAACCACATTTTTTTAAGTTAAGACAATTGCAAATTATTTAGAGGGCTTTTATTACTACTTAATGTTACCTGTCACTAAAATTTGATAAGAGTCAAAGTAACAATATATTCAGGAAAAGGAACATTAAGTTTTGGAGGAAAGGTGACACACTACGTTTGCCTAACATTTCCAGTCTGACTTACCAAAGACCTAAACCTGAATATTGTTCCATCTCTTCGATATAACTAGTTAAAGGACTGCCTCCTTTCTCTCAGCCACATCCAAACTATTGACAAATCCAATTATTATTTTCCTCCTGCTTTTTCTCTTAGTTTCTCTAATTTTCCTATGAAAATTCTTTCTAGTGTTTAAGGGTTTAAATACTTTATAGTATACTTAACAAATGTAGAAAATAAACCTAGTAAAAGATAATTTTTTAGAGTTTCTACATTCAAGGATGAGCTGGTGAGAATGGACTGATGTTACTCCTGACATTTAGAAGAACTTCGAGTCTGCTGAAATTTAACCCCTTGTTTGAGAAGACCAATAAAAAGTTAGCAAATTGAAACTACTATAAATTGAATTAAAATGTGACTCATTAATACTTTAATTTGATTATTTTCTTCATCTTATATAATTTTTTAAATCTTTAGTGATTTTTTAAATCAAATACAACTTTGGAACTATGAGTTGGAGTTAATTACTATTTCCATTAGGTTAATTATTCACCTATTGAGTCATATAATCATATAAAATAAAGTCTATCACTGTACAAGCATTTTATACACATACAATAGTCTACCAAAATTCCTACAAATAGAAAATGGCTCTTCAGATTAACATGTGGCTGGGTTGTCAGAGCTGCTCTTAGACTTCCTCTTTGCTACTAGATACGTGCAGCTATCCTACAATAGGTTGTGGTCTCATAGCCATTGAGAAGGGAGTCAATCATAGAAAGGAAAAATTGGAATTTTTGCACTTTGTATTTATTCTAACTAGAAGAACAGTTCCTGAGCTTCTGTGTTCTTTTGAAGATTAGAAAAGGCTGATGTTTCAAGATGGTAATGTAACCTATATATAAGTTCCAGATCTTGCCCTTCATAAAAACTAAAAGGGTATTATCACAAAAACTAAATAGAAAATAATTCTCCTTTGACTAACAACTTAAAAGAGTTGCCTAAGTTTTTTAGGTTTGTTGGTTTGTTTGAAATTCTTCTGTTTAGAGAATACTACTACTTCCCTTTCTTTTCTTGGTTTCCTGCTTCAACTGGCCAACTTCCTAGCCTCGCTGATAAACCCTGCCAAACATAACTTATTTTTCCAAAGCTGAATTTAGATCTTTATTAAAGTATTATAAATCCCTCATCTATAAAATGGGGATAATATTGGTATCATATCTCATAGGGTTGTTGTATTAAATGAATCAATACATGTAAAGCACTTGGAACAATGCTAGTTGCATTCTATAAGTGTTAGCTATAATTATTATTTTTCCATGAGTGAATAAATTTTGTTGTGCAATGTGATTAGTTGCCACATCTATTATTGAAAAGGAAAACTGGGAATTGTTTTAAACCATCTAATCATAAAATAGCATTTAAGAAGAAGCTAGCTCCCTAAAATGAGATCATTTTCTTCATTTTTAGAAAACAAACCAATAATTTCCAAAGTATCTTAAAACAGAGAGAGACTGCTGCAAAGACAGTCAGATTAAGCAAAGCTGGGCTCAGTGCCCAACGTACAAGCTACTTACAAATAACTAAAAAAAAAAAGTAGTAAACAAAGAATTGCTAGACAAAAAAAAAAAAAAGCTGGCCTGGATATACATGTCACATACAATTAAAGCTAAAAATCTATCCTTTGCCATCTATGTAAAGTAAAATGAACTTCTGTTCCTTGCAACATCACACAAAAATGGCAAGAGAGATTTTAATCACATCTGAAGAGACTATTTGCATGGTCTCATTTAAAATACTAACCATATGAAATTGTTTTTGAGGGTCCCCTGATGGCTGGGATGGAAGTGCAGTGGTAATCATTTTTCTTCATTCAGAGTGATACGGTAAAGATTTCAGTTAGTTCAGTTTATAAATTAATATTGTTTAGACTTAGATCACAATTACATGCATGGGGCCTCCAGATATTTATTGATTTTTCAAAGTGATTTTAATTTTTTTGTAGATTCATAGAAAATATTAAATTGGACTAAATCCCATCCTAGATATCAGAAGGTCTTACTTGTATATTAGCAAAACCTAAAAAAGTTTTGATTTTACAAGTATCCTAAAAGTCAGTCAAAAGGATACCTATTTGACTATGAAAACAACCTCTGTGGTAGATTGTATTACTGTTCCCAAATATTTTTGTCCCTCTCAATGGGAGGTCTTTAATTCCTCACCTTGTTAAATGACAGGCTTGGCCTTACGCCTTTGTTCAACGAAATGTGAATGGAAGTAATGTAGGCCACTGCTGAGCAGATAATGTGAGGCATCACTTGGTTCTATCATCTCTCTTTTCCTTTTGGTACATGAACAGCAGGTTCCAAAGACGGGATGATTCCTTTACCTGGGCCCCAGATTGATGGAACAAAGCTGAAGATGACTGATTGACAAACAACATGAAGATAAATAAACCTTACTGTAAGTAATCTCAACTTGGGCATTATTACCGTAGAATGACTTAGGTTGACTGATACATCATCCAACTTGTGAAAATTTGGCAGCCACGAGACTAATATTGATAACAAAGAGTATTTGAGAACTCTGAAAGATAGGCAGTCATCTAGAGCAGTGGTCCCCAACCTTTTTGGCACTAGGGACTGGTTTCTTGGAAGACAGTTTTTCCATGTGTGCGGGGGGTCGGGGGGAAGGTTCAGGCGGTAATGTGAACGATGGAGAGTGATGGGGGGCGGCAGATGAAGTTTCGCTCGCTCACCTGCCGCTCACCTCCTGTGCAGCCTGATTCCTAACAGGCTGTGGACCAGTACCTGTCTGCAGCCTGTGGGTTTGGGACCCCTGCTCTAGAGCAGTTGAAACTGAGAACCACTGAGAGGACAGTCAGAATAGGCATATTCAGAATAGGCATTCTCTTTCAGGGATGATTAAAACCAAAGTTCAGCTAGGAGATGTTTGATGTATATATATATTTGGACACTTTGGGGAAAATTAACAGTGGTTTGAAGTATGAGCTCCATATCAATTATGCTATGTTGGTTTTATGCTCTGAAATCTAATGTTGGTTCCACGTCTGAAATTTGTCACATTTTCTAAGCCCTGCAAAAGAAAAATGAACCTGGACTTTTGTCACTTTATGCTCATCAAATGGTAAGATCGTATTACCAGTTTGGAAAACAATTACTGAACTCTGCTGAAATCACTATTTATGAAGCTAAATCCAAAATTCAGACATTTGGGAAAAAAGCATCAGAGTCCACAGCAATGTATTTTGATGTTCTGGGGTGAAGAGAAATCAGTATTCATTCTCTGGAAAGAGCAGGTTCCTTCAAATAATCTTT